TTCAAAATAAAATCTTAATAAAATCTTACAGAAATTAAAAATAAAACAAGTTGAAAAGAAAAAAATTGAAAAAACAGCAAAGTTTCTCTCAAGGCCTGTTTTACATTTATTTATTTATTTCATTAAGAAGCACTACGGAAAATGTAATTTGTGGGCTTTTATTTTTGTTTTTTAATTTCCATTATTGAAACAAAAATCACTCCATAAATCTTAATGTATTTTGTATAAGCAACATTATGACTGTTTTCTCATTTATTGGTTGCATTTATTGATTTAAAATAAGAGATTGTTTTTTTTTTTCAGTAAATCTGAAACATTTCTTGCCGAGTGGGAATCGGTTTTTAACGGTTCCAATCATCTAACTCTGTCTTCATGTCTTTTTTGTGTTTGTTTTCATGTACATGCTTGTATGCTTGCTTTGTGTTGTTATGTGCACGTTCTCTCTGCTCGTGTTACGTTTATGTGCTTCCTTACAGGAGATCAATCCTTACTCAACAGTCACATCTGATCAAAATGAACTAGACCGCAGGTACTGTGCGCTACGGCTGCATGACGCTTACAGACACCTCATAAATCACTGCCTGAGAACACTTCCAGACCACCACACATATACACACACTGGCAAAAAAAGTATTTAGACTAGACTACTTTAAAATATCTGTACTTTTTGTTATAGGTTCACCTTAATTTTACTAAGAGATCAAAACAATAGAAAATTATCTAGGAAATCAAATTGTAAGATTTTAAAATAATTTTTTTTGTCAAATATGGTGGAAAATAATTATTCGTTCATGCACAAACAAGCAAGAATTCTGGCCTCCACAGACCTTTAACCTTTTGTTCAATAATTTCTTTTGTTCACCACTAATTACCTTTATTAATGTTTGAACATGCTTTTATAAATGACACCCATCCACCCTCAGACAGTCAGAATTAATCAATTGTAGGAGCAATTGGGAGAAAATGGAAGACAAAGAAGACCATGAATAATCTCCCTCCATCTGGGGTCCAAAGCAGGATCTCATCCCTTGATGTCAAAGAGATCATGAGAACAGTGTAGTCCTGTTTCTCTGACTGTGACTAACTGGATGTGCTCTCTTCATCCTTCATGGAGGTTTCTTCCTGTTAAAAGGGAGTTTTTCCTCTCCACTGTTGCTACAAGCATGCTTAGTGTGAGGGATTGCATTTGACTCATTGAGTCGATGCAATCAACTGGTTTTCCTTAGACAGAAAACTTTAAATCAATCTGACTGGATGATCTGGTTAAACTGTAAAGAGCCTTCAGATGAAATGTGTTGAGAATTGGTGCTATAGAAATAAACTGAATTCAATTGAATTGAGCAAAACTCCCCAAACTACAGTGAGGAGCCTGATGAATGACCTACAGAGAGCTGGGAGCAAAGAAACAAAGGCTACCATCAGTAACACACTATACCTGGAAGGACTCCCATCCTGCAGAGCCAGATGTGTCCTCCTGCTTCAGAAAGAACGTGTCCAGGCCCGTCTGAAGCTTGCCAGAGAGCAGATGGATGATCCAGAAGTGGATTGGGTGAACATAATGTGATCAGATAAAACTAAAATAAAACTTTTTGGCACAATCTGAAGAAAAATGCTGAGCTGCATCCCAAGAAGACCATCTCTAATTTTGGAGCATGGGGGTGGAAGCATCATGCTTTGCACCTT